AGTTGCTCCATGCTGCTCTCTCCTTTCTGCAGCAGAAATTCGCAGTTCGTGATCTTGGCAGGCTTAACTACTTCCTTGGCGTTGAAGCTCATTGGCAACCTGATGGCCTCCATCTCTCTCAAAAGAAGTATATCAACCACATCCTTTAATAGGCCAAGATGACTGACGCCAAATCCATCTCCACCCCAGCTGCTACTACAGTCAAAGATCCAGACTGCACTCCCTTCTCTGACGGCCCACAATATCGCAAAATAGTTGGCGCCCTCCAATATCTTCAATTCACTCGACCAGACCTTGCCCAAGCTGTCAACTACTATGCCCAACACATGCATGCTCCTCTCCAACATCACTGGTCCGCCGTCAAGCGTATCCTACGCTACCTTCGTGACACATGTTAGAGTTAGTCAATAGAGTTGTAATACGACATTGATGGGAGAAGTAAAGTATAAAGATGGAGTCTTTTGGCAGTTTAATTAATTAATTAAACGTTTGAATTTTGTGAAAAGAAGTGTCTTTCCGTAAAGGTAACTCCCTTTTTTCTTTGAAAGGATGTGTCCTTTCGGGAAAGGTAACTACCTTTTATGTGAAAGGATGTGTCTCTTCGGAAGGTAACTTCCAGTTTCACTACTATAAATAGATGGCTGCCATAACTCTTTTGATGACGAGAGATTACTTCTTCTTCCGGTTTTCCTTCTCTATTTCGCAAACACAGAAGTCTGCAAGATTGCTGCTTCCAGACTTAAAATTGAAGGGACTCCTGGGGGTAGGGCTGGCTATTTGGACCGGGACCGGATGAAAAACCGGAAACCGGACCGTATAACCCGGACCGAGACCGGACCGGGACCGAATAGTAAACAATCCAATCCAATCTTTGGGCTTAGATTTGAGGTAAAAAACCGGATAAAGACCGGATAAGAGAGCTTAACACCCAAAACTTAAGGGTAATTTGCATAAACGGTCACAAACCTTTGCACTTAGTACAAAACTTAACCAACTCCTCACCCTTTTAGGCCTTAGGCCACTCAAATTCCCACAATCTCAATATAAAATCAAGACCGAATTGGGACCGGACCGGGTCAAGCCCGGACCGGATCAAGACCGGACTGAATCCAATCCAATCTTTGGTCCTTATATTTTCAAAAAAAACCGGACTGGACCGGATCAATTTGGGCCAATTTAACCGGACCGGACCGTATAGCCACCCCTACCTGGGGGTGGTTTGCTCGAGCCTACCAGCAATTTGTAGTGGGAGCAAATAACACTCTAAGGAGAGTGATTAATCACGCCTTCAATCCGATTCTTTCCTACCAGTTCCTGACAATCTTAGAGTGTTATTTGTTTGAAAAAATAGAATCTGGAGTGGAAAGTACATTGAAGGTGTATGCTTCTGATTCCAACAAGTGGTTCTCGTTGTCTTGTGTGTTCGTTGGTTTTCGGATTTCGAGGTATCGCTACGCCTGAAAAAAAATGTTCAGTTCGTTGGAAACAGTTCCTTTGTATAAGAGAAAGAAAGGAATGGCAATCGGAAAAGAAAAGGGACGGTTGACAAGAAGAAGGAAAGCGACACTTCAAATGGAGGACAGGTCTGATATGATCATGTAAGTATTCGGTTTTCCCGTGAATAAGCATGAATGCATGATCAATATGTTTGTATATATATATATACTGCATGCTTTCGTGTTTTCCAGCGAAGTAATAATGGCTTTGTGACAGAATTTCATATACACGTATATATGCATATATATGTGCGTCCCTCTATTCTGTTTATATGTCTTCCATTACAAATTAAAGTGGATTGTTACTGTCCATTTTAGTGGATGTGTATAACGAGAAATTTCTTAGTGGTTGAAATTGGAAATGTGATATGGATATATACATATACTTACATATATATTTCATTTTCAATGCAAGTGTTCCTGGAAATGTTCTGCTTAATTAAAGCAATCGTGTTCATGCACCGATAGTGTATCTTTGATGCTTGATTGTTGTCCTTTCGTGCACATGATCAACACGATTTTGGAATGATGAATGATTGAGTACCAAATTGATGATGTATTATAACCAATTCAGTTTGGTGTAGAGATATGAACGAACTCATAATATAAGAAGAGTTCATAGGAAATTTAATTTGATTGAATTCAAAAGAATTCATGTTGGAATTCTTGGAAAATGCAACACTTTGATTTATGTAATCAAATTGTTTTGAGTTGTGATCTTGAAGTAAATTAAAATAATGGTGAAAAGCGTTCCCCGACATGGTAATTTGTTTATCATGTCATGTTTCATATGTCATGAGGGCAATGAAAATGAAACTAAAATTGGTCCTTGTTAGGATTGAATAAGCTTGCGAGAGAATTGTTTCCTATGATCATCAAGATAAAAATATTATCAGAATTGTTTATGGTAGATGTACACTACATCATTGGAAAACAATTTGACTTATGATGATGAATGAAGCTATTTGTCAGAATTGTTTATGGTATATATAGAGATATATATCATTGGAAAACAATTTGGCATGAGAGTTCAATTGAGATGATCTTATTGAACATAAAGTCTGAATGACTTATGGTATATTTATGAAGTGCATACCATTGGTAAGTAATTAGACTATTGATTTAGAATATTCATTTGAATTGCTTGTGGTATGTCAAGTTACCTTGATGAAAAGTCATTGGTAAGTAATTAGATGGTATTTCCAATACAATCTGGAAATGCAACTGAATTACTTGTGGCATCTTAAGATACCTTGACCAATTCCATTGGTAAGTAATTAGATGATATTTCTAATATCTGAATTGTTTGTGGTATAATAATTGAATTAGTCCATACCATTGGCAAACAATTAGATCAATGTAGCGGTTGAAAGTTCAATAAGTAATGGAAAATAAAATGGAATTGTTCCATGATAGTTTGGCAAGTGGGAGAAGTGTGGGGGAGATGTTTCTCATGATAGTTGAATAACTAGTGCTAGTGATAATAAATCTACGATGGGTAGATTTTTACACTAGGTGGTGGAGTTGTTTCTTGGGTTTCGAAGAAACAAAATGTGTATTACACTCCACCATGGAAGATGGATTTCTAGCCCGGGCGGCGGCTGGAAAGATGCAGAATGGCTAAGAGACATGTTGTTAAGTATAGAGTTGTGGCCACAACCGATGCCAGCCATTTCTGTCTTTTGTGATAGTGAGGCTACTTTGTCGAGAGCTTATAACAAGATTTGCAATGGTGAGTCTAGAGCTACTAGTCTAAGACATGATTACGTTGGATATTTGATTTCTAATGGAATCATTTCTATTGTTTATGTTAGATCAAGCAATATTTTGCAGATTCTCTTACCAAGGGATTGCCAAGAGGCATGATCTATGAGACATCCCAAGGTTAGGGATTGAGACCTCTTGTGTAGTTAGAAGTAATGGGAACCCAACCTTTTCTTTAGGTATTCACTAATTAAAAGGTTCAATGTGGTAATAACAAGTTACTCTAACTGAGGTACTATTTTATTGTACAAGTAAATTAGTCCAAAGAAGGGTGGGTTATAGAACTCTTGAGATGAGTTATAGAACTCTTAATGAATTCCTTTGGAATGTCACCTATGTGAGCATTAAGAGTGGTGCCGCTCTAACAAAAGTAGAGGTCAACTTTTGTCTATGCTCATGAAACAGGATTAGCACATGGCCATAATAGTGCTACCCTAGTTGGTGGTTGTGCTTTAGAGAAGAGACAAGGACGTGTGTGGCATCTCCGGTTATAGCTTTGGATCGTGACTCCTAGGCTTAAGCCCGTCACTGATTCGTTATCAACTTTGAGTTGCTTACACTAGGTAAAGGTTCAAATCGAAAAGATACCTTTATGTATGCGTTACTTGTTCGAGGCAGGTATTCTCAACTCTTGTTGACTAAGTGGGGGATTGTTAGAGTTAGTCAATAGAGTTGTAATACGACATTGATGGGAGAAGTAAAGTATAAAGATGGAGTATTTTGGCAGTTTAATTAATTAATTAAACGTTTGAATTTTGTGAAAAGAAGTGTATTTCCATAAAGGTAACTCCCTTTTTTCTTTGAAAGGATGTGTTCTTTCGGGAAAGGTAACTACCTTTTATGTGAAAGGATGTGTCTCTTCGGAAGGTAACTTCCAGTTTCACTACTATAAATAGATGGCTGCCATAACTCTTTTGATGACGAGAGATTACTTCTTCTTCTTCCGGTTTTCCTTCTCTATTTCGCAAACACAGAAGTCTGCAAGATTGCTGCTTCCAGACTTAAAATTGAAGGGACTCCTGGGGGTGGTTTGCTCGAGCCTACCAGCAATTTGTAGTGGGGGCAAATAACACTCTAAGGAGAGTGATTAATCACGCCTTCAATCCGATTCTTTCCTACCAGTTCCTGACAACACATCCATCCACTTCAGCAACCGCACCGCTTTTCACCTATCTGGCTACTTGGTTTCAGCCTGGGCCAAAAGTATTCATGATCGGCGCTCCACAACTGGGTACGTTGTGTACTTGGGCTCACATCTCATTTCATGGTCTTCCCGCAAGCAAAAGACCGTTGCGTGTTCCTCCACCGAAGCTGAGTACAAAGCCCTCGCCACCGTAGCTGCTGAAATCATTTCGATCGAGTCCTTACTCCAAGAGATCGGCTTCCCACTCACTTCGCCACCGACGATTTGGTGCGACAATCTTGGCGCAACCTACCTCACTGTGAATCCTGTTTTCCATGCTCGCAGTAAGCACATGGAAATTGATTTTCATTTTGTCCGCGAACGAGTTGCTGCTGACCGGCTCATGGTACGATATATCTCCACTGACGATCAAGTGGCTGATCTTCTTACAAAACCACTACCCCGACAACGTTTTCAGCACTTCCGGTCCAAGTTGAAGGTCCCCGCCCATCAACTTGCAGGGGCGTGATAAGGAGTCCGTGTCATTCTGTTTCTGTTATGCATAACAGAACACTTCAAGGATGTTCCTCCTTCTACGCCTCTGCTCCCACCATATTCTACCACTCTGTTAATTTGTTATTCTTCAATCTGTATAAATGTATCAGTGTATAGCTAATAATAATGTGTGTGTGAGAAATATTAGAAACTAAACCTGTGAATCTCTTGCTCCTGGGACTCAATTTCGAGGTCTCCGTCGCCAGCCCGAAATCCGCGATCTTTCATTAGTAAAGACTCTGCCCTCCCTTGTTTTTCGCGTAAAAAACCAGGACATTGTCGGGTTTAATGTCGCAGTGGGTGAATCCAAGAGAATGGATGGAGGACAGAGCGCGGAGAATCATTCTTGCGTAGCCTCTGACGTGAGTTTCCGGGATTCCCACTGTTCGCCGTCCGATGCAGGAGTAATCGGCGATCAAATTGACGAGAGATCCTCGGGGGTGCGAGTTCCATTAGCAGGTTGTACGTTCTTTCTCCTCCACGGCTTCTGGGTTCCGTCCCCGTAACCTCCCTTTCCGATACAATCTCCTCGCCTCCACGCCATTGTCGGAATCGAACAGCAAAGCAGAGCAAGTAAAAAAGCAGAGTGAAGAAAAGAGGAAGGAAGAGGAAACAGAATGAGAAATTGGCAAGTGATAGGCTCTATAGACATTATATTGTTGATGGAAGATTTCACTTTTCAGCTTGGGATTCGGATTAGGTGATGAAGGGAGAGCAAGTAAGCAACTGAAATTGGAGTCCTTTGCTGTCTCGGATTAGGGGATGGGTTGGACTTGGGAAAGAAGAAGAAACATGTCCTGTTTTGACAGTAGTAGCATTCCTTTTCCTTGTAGCTCTGGGAAAAGAGGAGCAGCGCAATTTAGCTAACTCGGGAATTGTGGGCTTCATTGACCGTCTAAGCAGTAAGCACACAAATCAGGAAAGCTTTGTTATTGGGCCTCCAACGTTACCCGTGCTGCCACAAGCCCACAACCTCAAAACAGGCCCCAATACTAGAGTGCCGCCGTCGCCATTCCAATACGTTATTTCTTATTTTGTCCACGGCGCATTAAGTTGGTCGTTTACAGGTCTCCAACTCCATATATTGTTTCTTTGTTTTGGTCACTAAACTATCATGGAGATTGGTTGTCTGGGTCACTTATTTGTTTTTTTTACTTACCAATTTCATCCGAGTCACCGATGACCGAACTGCATTAAGTGGATCGTTTTCAAGTCTCCATACAGTAGACTTGAATAGAAATCATACTGCATTGCATCTGGTGGCCAAACCAAAATGATAATACCCAGGGGGAGCAAAGATTTAGCATTCGGGGGCCAAAGTTTTTTACAATGTTACTGCAAAAATGTATTAAAATTAATCAAAATAATTAAAAATATATTTTATAATATTATGATAACTAAAAATTTGAGTAAACTTATCTATCTAAAATTTTGAGCATGGTAAATTAAATATAAAATTATAAGAGAAATAAACAAATTAATAAAGCATTTCAATGTTGTGTATCCCATCCAATTTTTCATAATAATAGGAAAATGAATGTCTATTATATGAGTATTTGAAAAACAACTTGTACATTATCGGTCCAAAAGTATTCTTAAATGTTTGTATGTTGAATAACTTAATCAATCTAGCTTAGATTAAAGAACTTGAGAAAAACAAAATATACAAGTTGAACTTAACTGATCGATCTGATTTAAAATTAAAGGACTTAAAAATTAATATACAAATGACTAATTATCCAGCCACATTGAAATTATAGGTGTCAAAATAGAACTCGATCTGACTAACCCGCCCGATCAACCCGACCCGCAATCTGAATTGACTAAAAGTCAACAACCCGTAACTCGCCCGACCCGCAACCCGACTAACTCGCAACTAGACTGACCCGCAACCCGATTAACCCGAACCCAATTGATCCGCAACCCGATTAAACCCGCAACCAGATAAACGCGACCCGATTGACCCGAACCCGACTAAGCCGCAACCCGACCGACTCAACCCAAACATCACCTAATTCACTTAAATAAATATTATATTATATAATACATAGTTTTTCAAAATAAAATTTTTCATTATAAACTTAGGTAAATTTAATTCTTCATTTCCTATAGGAAATTTAAAAACATGAAACTCACTTGATATTATCTATTTTAAGAAAATTAAAAAAATTGAAACTGAAGGTCACTTGAGCACTAAGTTCTTTAACAAAATTAAAAAAGTAAATATGAAATATAAAATCAGCACAATGTGAATATTGATAATGAATAATTAATAATTGAGATCATTGACAATATTAATATAATATGTAAATTAAAATTTTGGTGAATTTAACTATTCAATAAAGTTATGAAATAAATATATATAAAGTAAAGCAATGTATTTGATAATTTGATGTTTCTAAAAGAATAGGAAAATTTTGGTGTATTCAACTTTTTGGGAAGAGAAAGAAGAGGAAAATTAGGTTTTTAGAATTTTTTTTTCCGTTGAATCAGTTGCTTTTATTGCTCATAGAAAGAAACCGATACAACGAGATAGGATCCCATAGATCCTATGCAATACAACGTCCTCTACTATCTCCTCCACTATTGTTCATCTGATACTACTTACAAGAAAGGAAAAGAAAACAACTAAGAACCAGCATCTGTATCTATAGGTATCCCAGCAGTTCCAGTTCAGCCTGCAATTCCGGTTGACCAGCAACAATAAAACGCAACTCCTCTTGCAACAGATCAGCTAGCCAAGTCGGGGTTTTACAGACAGAGCCATGTACCACTGCACAACATTCTTTCCACACGAAAGACAAAAGAATGCACCAAATCATAGCATGCCAATGTCCCATCTTTGAGTCCCTGCTTACTACATTCAAAGCACCACTCAACATTGCATCCCAACTACTATAGTTAAGTAAATTGGATCGCATAATAGAGGCAAGCTGGCGTATAAACAAGCACTGTAAAAACAAGTGCTCTCTTGACTCAGCAGCCCCTCCACATAAAGGACAAGAGGTATCTGTAATCTTCCACCACTTCAGTAGCTTGTCTCGAGTAACAATAGAATTCCTGATTATGAGCCAGGCAAGGAAATTATAACGCAAAGGACAAGGCTTACACCATACCAGTTTGTACCATGGAACTTCAGATGCTCGAAGTCGTAGCGTCTCCCAAACTTGTCGCACTGAGTACTTCCTCATCAGCTTTGCCCCCCAGAAAACCTCATTGTTTTGCTTATGCAACCAAGTCTGAATCAAAGGCCTCAGCTTAAGCAAGGGCCGCCAAGTCCAAGAATTACTATATTGAACCTTCATTGTCCACAAATCCCCCTGCTTGCACTTATAAGCATACATCCAGGCTACCCAGATAAGCATATATCCAGGCTACCCAGAGTGTCCCAGAATTCAACAAAAATAACCAGAGTAGCCGAACTGTACATGCTTGATTCCATCCCAGTAAATATTTTATCCCCAATCCTCCTTCTTTTTTGGGAAGAGCAATCGAATCCCAAGCAACTTTAGCCTTTCCCTCTTCATTCCCATGCCAAAGGAATTGAGAGCAAACCTTCTGAATTCACTTAAAAACTTTCTTAGGCAACACAAATAATTGCATCCAATATTGAACAATACCAATCAGCACAGAATTTAGTAATTGCAACCGACCTGCATAAGTCAATTTCTTAGCTCTCTAGGACCTCATTCTCTTTGTCATTTTATCCACTAAAGCATCCATTTCCTTTGAGGATAATTTTCCAGTTATTAATGGCAACCCCAAGTATCTGAGAGGGAGCTTACCTTCCTAGAAACCAGAAAGCTGCAATGCATTATTCTTGTAAAGCACTGAATCCGCACCAAAGTAAATCTCACATTTAGCCGGGTTACTGTTAAGCCCAGACAACTGATAAAACCTATGTAAAACAGCTTTGACTTGCAAGATGGCTTGTGCATAACAGATTTGGTTCAAAGAGACCTTAATGCATAGTGGATGAAAAGGAATTGCTCCTGTGTGTCCTGCTTTCATTAACAGAGTTGAAAGCCCCTCCATGGCTATAGTGAAAAGGTAAGGCGACAGTGGGTCACCCTGCCTGACCCCCTTTCTTGCTCTAAAGAAGCCACATAGACTGCCATTCACATTAATACTGTAATGTGCTGTTTGAATACAGCTCCTTATCCACTTCATAAACTGGTCGGTAAACCCCATTGAACTCATCATAAGAAAAAGATAGGTCCAATTAACCGAGTCAAACGCTTTCATAATATCAAGCTTAATAGCACAACGTGAGGATAAAGCTTTCCTATGATATCCACTAAGCAGCTCTTGAGCCAAAAGAATGTTATCCATTATGTTTCTCCCTTTAATGAATGCAGAATGAGTTCCACTAATGACCTTAGGCAGCACTTCTCTTATTCTCTTGGCTAATATTTTAGCTACTATCTTATACAGTACATTCACACAAGATATTGGCCTAAAATTCTTCAAAGTATCAGCATTATGTACCTTAGGAAGCAGTGAGACAGCAGTGGAATTCACACCACTAGGCATAGTACCTGTGTGGAAGAAGTCCACCACTCCCCTTGTTATATCAGCACGCCCCTTCTTCCATTGTCTCTTCATCCTTATCTTTTTGTATTCTAGTTTCCAACACAGCTACAACATCTACCCTATTTCTTCGAAGGACTTGCATCAAGTCCTTTTATTTGGAGGCTTTATTAAACCCCCTCACATTCCAGAACAAAACAATCATTTGGAAGAAGAGGGCTTCCCCCCACCCTTCCGAACCTCTTTCTTACCTTCCTTCTTTCTTGGAGCCTCTTGTACTTTAATAGTGTTGGTTTCATCCAATTTACTGAGCACACTGAACGTGGAAGTAGAAATCTGAAGCTTTGGGCTCTGCTGAGGAGACCAAACACGAGGTTTAGCCCCATTCGCTACCCGCTGAAACTCATCCTCAATAGGCAGTTTTGGAGAAGTGGCCACAGCTTGGAAAGAACTCTCTAAGTTTAGAGGAATAGGAGCTTCCACTCTTGGAGTAAACTCTGGAATCATAGCACTTAACTGTGGATATGCATCATATATCACTACTTCCTTACCCTTTCCACTTACCACTGATTGATCCTGCACTTTCTTTGGAGATTCCACCTTATCACTCTGCACCTTCTCAGGAATAGAGATCACTGAATTGACCTGCTGAGATACATGCTTAGAGACCACCTTATCATTCTGCACCTTATCACTCTGCACCTTCTCAGGAATAGGAACCCACTTTTGACCTTGGTGAGCAGCACACTCACCAGTAATGCCAAACAGATGACATTTATGACTAACAGGAGGCAAATTGCAATAGGTAATTCCA